CCTGATTACACAAATGAACGCTACCTCATTCGCTGGATTGAAGTGTTTCTCTTGCAAATCAACGAAAATAGTCGACGGTAATAACGAGATTTTGATCATATTAACTTCTGGCAAACTAACTCTATTTGTCCCCTTTTAGTTCGGAGATGCTCAACACCAGTCGACTTGCCGAATCAGTGTCGCAGGCCTTTTGCGTGGCACTGATCGACTTTCTTGATCAGCTCTACGAGAGTGGTCTCACCAAAATTGGCCTTCGGATCAGCCTCGACGTTGACAAGGTGAGCGATCACATTTGGTCAGTTAGAGTTGTGTGTGACAATTCTTTTTTGTTCAGGTGGGCTACGAGTCTGGTAGCGCAGGGGAGCAACTTCCGGCGCAGTTTACCAGCCAGTTGGATAGTGCCCTCATTCCGGCCATCATGGAGAACATCTCCACCACCGGCATCGAGGACCCGCTGGTGATTGAGCTGCTTTTCTACATTCTTCTCAAGTGATCTACCGCCATCACCCAAATCCCCATCGTCATCATCATCATTGTCACTTCAAATGTTCCTCCATGTGTTTTCTCCGTTTGTTGACAAACACCCACTGGTTTCTTCTCTGCTTGTCTCACAGTCATCTTGGACGTCTATTTAATTTTTCTCAATAAGTTATTATGAAATATGAAATGACAATAATAAAGTTCGTTATTTATTTATCTGCAAACAACTGCTTCATTTGTCTTCTCTCGTTCACAAATAATAACAGATAGCTGTTCTCTCTGCTTGAGCTCTGGAAAGCCCGAGCAGTCGTCGTACAGTGGAAATCTAATCAAGGAAAGGACGCGTGTGAGCGTGTTTTGTAGGGTGACGGGTGTCCGTCACTCCACTCGCTGACGATGACGATGATGTGTTGATTCAACAGACAAATATTATCAAGTAAAACGTTCTACCAGTCACCCACACAAACAAACACGCTCACTCTACCTCACTCACTACCTCCTCGCCTGGTCGTCCTTGTGCGGTGCACATGTGGCAAAGCACGTCACTGCAAATGCCCACTGATAGCTGGCCGGAGGCTGTCATCAGCAGCGTCCCATGATAGGAGGTATGTTTTCTCAAGGCCCAATCACCTTATCATGAGCAGTCATACCCTGATAACTCGTCCCGTGGCCGTTTGATCAACAACAGCACAGCAACACTGGGCCAAACACTGTCTGTGTGTGTGTGTGTGTGTTTGCCAAGTCAACTCTGTGGGCGCTCTTGCGAAAGTGAATCACAGCAGTCCCCTAGAGGTGACGCTGAGTCCGCTTTCAGTGGTCAAAGGTTGACTGGCACAGTATGGCGACTGGAGAAGAGGAGCAGAGTTTGTCCCTCTTCACCTCGGGACCCGATTTGGCTGGCAGCAGTTGCACTGGCACTGCTACTAGTGCTGCCACACTAATGAGCACTGCTACCGATTGTCAGCAGCGGTCAAGATTGAAGGCGAGGGGCGGGCCCATCTCAGTCATCCCAGTGACTGTCATTGTGTGCACTGATAAACGACTCCGCCCAGCTGCTGAAATCTGGTAGTGAGCCTGGAAGCGGTGACAGTGCCAGCACCTGCGCAGTTCAGCTGCTCAGGCTGAGAAGACGCACCACACAAAGGCAAAAAAATCATCGGTTTCTTCACGGTTTGCCTGGTCTAACTCACTCACTCCTTGGTCAGCATCACTTGAAGCGGCCCTCAGCCAGGCCATTGGCCCCACATCACTCCCCAGACTGTACTCTAGCCAGGACGTCCACTGTCAGTCGTCTGCTGTCCACCCCTCTCCAGTGCCTTCTCCGCCTCGGCGACCTCAGCACAGTCGAGAAGTGTGTCGCGTTGCCAGCAAGCAGCAGCATCAACCAGGCTTCCCACTCGCTTCTAATTCTCTCTCATCCGACCGCCAACCTTCCAGGTAAATGCAGTGTTTGCAGTGCCGGTGACGTCAAGCACTTCCCACGACAACTCGAACCGACTGACCGATCCGTTAGTCCACTGTCGCAAAGTCAGCCTGTTCAAACTGCTGACACGCAAGTACTGGGCACCTGAACACTGAAACCTTTTCTAGTGCTCTCCCCTCTAACACTTCTGTTCCTTTTGCTGCAGCTCGAAAACATGGACAACAGGCATTTAATATCGCAAAATGCCAACAACTCGCCATCACATTCCATCAACGACCTCGATGAGCGTCTTGGTTTAATGAACATGAATGAAGTGGGGCCCAGTGTTCACGGCTCCAATCCCGTCATTTCGACCGTTCCCCAAGCCAATCTCAATGAAACATATTACTCGAATATGAACAGCCGAGGTATGCTTCTGCTATTTGTCCCCGTGTTTTGTCTGCTCACAACCAAAACATTTAGTTTCAGCCACTCAACCTACTAACAACTCCACGGGTAGTAGCGGCTCTAGACGGCTAAATCCAACAGCACAAGTATTCGTTCCAAGAGGATTGGTGCCTACACCGGGTCCGTCGTTTAACGGGCCTCAGGCTAATGTTGGTGTGCCAACAAATAACCACTCAATGCCAAACGGAAATGTCAACAACATTCAATCTTCAAGTCTACTCGAGGGAGAAAACGACATTGAAGATTACATCGCCCTTTCATACTTAAAGGAATTTATCAGCTCTATTTCCAATAAGCCAAGTATTTACGATCTTGGAATCAACGAGATTACTGCGATTGTGAATTCTTACCTCGATGAAGACGAGTGCGTACTCGAGTTAATTGTCAACCAAATTGTCGATCAGGTAAGAGCAATGCGAGAGCTTTCTATTCATTCACATTTCATTAACTCAATGATTGTTTACAGTCAATCATTGATGTCAACTTTCGTTACAATGGGGTTCGGCTTTGCTTTCATTTCATGGAAAACATTAGGCCAACCAGTTCAGGGCAGACTTTCGAGAATTTCTTGTTCAAGAGGTACGTCATTCTATTGTTCTATTTCTACTGGTACTTACTAATGATTAAATTTTGCGTGACATTTCGGCAGATGTCAACGAGAATGTTCTCGAAAGGTTACTCCCACAACATCGGCAAACACTTTTAATCATCTCCGAGGCCTAGCCCTCTTTGCTGCCGACTTGTTTGCTAGAAGTAAAGCGCCCTCAATTGCAGAAAACTTGCCCAATCTATTAATCAACATCTTATCAACCAACTCGAGTACAAAGCTAGACGACAATGTGAAATGTGTCTACCAGGTGTTGAAGGTAAGTGCTTCTTTGCTCTGCACTTCTTTGAATTGCATCTTATCAGAGTGTTTGCCCTATAGTTGTGTGGTCAACAGTTAGACACCTTCTACAACGAACAAGGCAAAGACGACGTGAAGACTGTCTTCAAAAAGCTCGGAGAGGCGACTGAAAAATGTGATGTTCCTGCTTATTTCAGCGACATGATTAAGAATTTAATCAAACTAGCCGAAAGTGGTTGGAATGAGCAGCCGAAACCGTCTCAGGCACCTTTGAACATCAAGAATCCATACCAAAATGCAAACAATGAGAACCTTCCAAACAACTCTGGCTACTACGAGTCACACTACTCTTCCAATTACCCACCAACCATCCAGGAAATGTTAGTGTATTTTCCCGCATTATTCTTACCCGTTTCTAACCTTTTCACTCCCCATTTACAGGTACGACTTTGGAGGTGATGAATGTGACGAAGAAGTGTGCCAGGACTTTGAAAACTTCCTGCGGAACCTGCCACCAAACAACTCCTGATCCATCGAAACGCTTTCTCTAACCTGAGGTATACCAGTTTGCGCCAAGTCAAGTTGAAATCAATGTACCACTGACTTTACAAATACAACATTTTATCTTTCTAAATTAATAATATCAGCTATATCTGATTTTTACAACCAATTATTTTTATTTCTAAAGAATATTTTTCCTAACTGACCAACCTATCCACTTATTGTTGACGATAATTACCTGTCCACCTTGAGAAGGGCAAACCATCCCACTTTTTTCTCTCTGTTCTGAATCCTGAATCCCTAAATCAAGCCACAAAACTGACGACGCTGAATCCAATCAGTGGTTGCCGCCTCCTCACTCACTCCTTCCCCTCTGTTAGAGCTGTTGTTGAATACCCATTAACAGCACCTGATAACGCACAATTGCCTCACCTTGACGTCTGGTCGTGTAGCTAGATATGTAATCGGAGTTTGAATCTTTCGTAATCAATAAAGAGATAACAAATATATTCGAAAACGTCCACTCTGAATGGCCCAACAAGTCCACTTTTTGGCAGTTCTGTACAGCCAAAGATGCGGTTGCTGCTACTGTCGGCTGTGCAAAACTGCCCAAAAGTGGTCTTTAATTTCTACCTATGTAACACACATGGCAATACATGTGTTTTGTTTTGAACATTTTTTGCATGAATGAATCTGGTATTTCTCATCGGCGTCTTCCNCTCAGCTGTGCAAAACTGCCCAAAAGTGGTTTTATATTTCCACCTATGTAACACACATGGCAATACATGTGTTTTGTTTTGAAGATTTTTTGAATGAATGAATCTGATATTTTTCATCGGCGTCTTCCTTGTTGAGCATCACCAATGCAGTCCATTAGGCAGTCTTTTGTGCCTCGTGCCAAGTTTGTCATCAATCAAAAGTTGCAATGGTTTCCGGGACATATGCGCAAAGGTTTGTTGGCAATTCAGTATATTCTCAACTTGTGTTTTAACATGTTGTTTTGCAATTTTAAGGAATAAGGGACATTGGCAAGACGCTTAGAAACGCCGATTTAGTTCTTGAAGTCCACGATGCTAGGATATCCTTTTCACACGATTTTGTTTTTATTTTACTTTACTAGAATAAGTTTTTATGAACGCACTTTATTTCCTTAACTGCTTTGTTTACATTCCTTTTAGCGGGCGAAATCTCAATCTGATTGGCCGGATAGCTGCCGTTAAACCGGTGATTCTGTTGCTCAACAAAAGTGATCTTATTAGGTCTGAAGATAAAACTCAAATCGCAGACAAACTGTTTCAAAAGATGGATTCGAAGAATGTGCCGGTCAAAGACATCTTTTTTATGGATTCACTTAGTGGTGACGCAAGGAGAGGAGGCTACGACGACAGGGTACAAGACTGCATTTGTATTTTAAAAACAAACTAACTTGATTTATTTTTATTTTCTAGTTGCTTACGACCATACTCAATTCAATTGAGAAGCACAGTAATATTGACACGAATAGGGCCCTCTTTATGGAGGATATCAAATACTGTCTCCTCGTGATGGGCATTCCAAATGTCGGTAAATCTACGGTGATCAATCGTTTACGGAACGTATATCTAAGAAAAGCAGGGCGAGCAACAGTGACTGGACCTAAAGCGGGCGTTACCAAGGCCGTTTTGGAGAAGATTAAGATTTGCGACAACCCCCGTCCCATTTACCTCTTTGACACGCCGGGCATTTTGGAGCCATCCTTTCACCGCCTGAACAGTGATGCCGACCGTGAGGCACTGATGAAGTGTGCCCTCTGTGGTAACATTGCCGATAACGTAGTCGGTCCCGAGCTGATTGCCGATTACCTTTTATTCTGGCTGAACAAACACAACAACCACCTGTACGTGGACTTTTTTGGCATGCCAGGCCCGTCAAATGAAATCGCCGAAGTGCTCACCTACGGTGCCATTCGTTTTGATGCACTAAAACAGACTCGATCCTTTGAGACCGGCGAAAAGACAGTGATACCGAACATGCATGAAATGGCCGAAAAGTTCATTCGTGCATTCCGTAAAGGCGAGTTTGGTGCGTGCTTTCTGGATCGAGAACACCTGGAGTCGAGGTGGTGAAAGCGGTGTACATACAATGTAAATAAAGAAGGATAGATTTTCGCCGAATAAACTTTCATTTATTAGGGTATATTAATTTTTAATTACAAAAGAACCAGCCAGATTTAGTAGAGTCGCTGAGGCTTGCCCATGGTGGACTTGACGTGCAGCGATTTGATGTTCTGCCAGTTCTTTTTCAGCAGAGAGACCAAAAAGTTGATGGTCAAGTTGATGTTCTGGGCCAGCTCCTCCGAGGGCATGTCAACGTGACCGACGGCGACGGCCAAGCAGAGCACCTTTTTCATCTGCAACTTGATGGTAGCCTTCACCTCGTCCACCTTTGCGACCATGTTCTCGGTGTGCGCCAGCAGGGTGGGGAATTTGCCGGCCTTGTTCAGACCGGGACCCAACAGACGTGGGATCATCTTGATGAGCGACTCGGACGCCAGGAAGGCATCGTAGTCCTTGGCGAGCTTCTTCACCAGCTTCTTGTTCTTATTCAGACGCTTCAGGGCCTCAGCGTCCATGCACGGGATGTTGTTGGCGTTGGCCTCATCGCAATGTTGCTGGTCACCCAGAATGCAGACACGGTACTTGGGTCGAGGGATGTGGCGCAGCTTCACGGTACCCGAGAAACGCTTGTCCTTTTGCGGATCGTAGTTCTTCAGACCGATCTGCAGCTCGACGGACTCGAGAAACTTGCGCTTCTTGCCGCCATCCTCGCCCTTTGATCCCTTGAGGACTCCGTTGACACACTCGTACAGAGTGTCACGGTTCACTTTAGACGACGACATGATCTGAAAATTAAAGCACTGGTTAAACAGGGGGAAAAGGAGAGAGAAAGGCCTAGAAAATACCTTGAGAAGACGTTCTTAGGATCAGATGTGTTTTCGTGCTGCAGTCTGCAGTNTAGGGGGAAAAACGAGAGGGAAAGGCCTAGAAAATACCTTGAGAAGACGTTCTTAGGATCAGATGTGTTTTCGTGCTGCAGTCTGCAGTTGATCCTGGCGGAAAAGACTAAGGAAACGTGCGTGCTTTGCGCTGCTGCTGTTGTCACAGCCCATCATAGAAGACGTACCATTCGGGTTCAAAATACCTGAATCCATGCAAATTAGATTCCGGTGCCCAGGTGTTGCCTCCTTTAGTCTCAAATATGCATTTTCATATACTTTATCCATGACAAAGTCATTTTTGATCAGTTATAGCGAGTCAGAGGTCAAAGATGAAACTTTTATCAAGGTTTATCAAAAAAGCGCCCTTTCAAGTAGAGACTACAGATGGCGCATCGTTTTCAGTAGTGACTAATAATTTCAAATTCTCAACTTTATTCGTCTCATTCNTGGTTCAAAATACCTGAATCCATGCAAATTAGATTCCGGTGCCCAGGTGTTGCCTCCTTTAGTCTCAAATATGCATTTTTAAATACTTTATCCATGACAAAGTCATTTTTGATCAGTTATAGCGAGTCAGAGGTCAAAGATGAAACTTTTATCAAG